TGTCCAAAGGAGAGCTGGTCACAAACTGCTTCAAAAACAGGTACATGATGTGGTTTGTGTCTACAGACAAACTGCAGATTTAGGATGATGAGTCCGAGTTAAAGTTTCTGTTGATGTTTGTTGTTATCCTTTTGCATCTTGTTTGTCAGATACTTAAGAGCAGTTGTGATGAGCTGGCTGATTTCACACTGAACCTGTTGATGTTTGTTTTCAGGTACACACTGCAGGCCTCCACCTTCCAGATGGCCATCCTGCTGCAGTACAACACAGAGGACAGCTACACTGTCCAGCAGCTCACCGACAGCACACAGATCAAAACTGTAAGGGCATTTTAACGACACATCCTTAAATCTCTGATAACTTTTACTTTTGTCACCCAAGATGACTTTCAGTTCTCCTTTTAATCTGTTTTTTCTATCCGGTTATCTTTGGCTAATATTTAAAGTCCCTTCTAACTTACATTTCTTTTTTTTCAGGACATTCTGGTTCAGGTTCTGCAGATTTTGTTAAAATCCAAGCTGCTGGTGAGTAAAACAAACTGTCCCGCTCCCTTTGTCTTGTGTCATTCGAGTTTCAGGTTTTAAGAAGTTCATCTCATGAAGGCAGAAACTTTTTTTTTATATCAATTAATCGCAGTTATTCCAGGATTAATCAATTAATTTTATAGCCAGGAAAAAAGGCTAAAACATGGCATAAAAATGCTTATCACCAGGAAGATGTCTTCAGATTGCTCCTTTTCTCCGATCAACAGTATGACAGCATGTATTAAATGACAGAAAAAAGCAACAAATTCAGTCACATTTTTCAGAAGCTGAGCTGAATAAAACGCAATAAATCAATACAAAATAGATATTTAATTTAAAATCAGTTTCCTGTTCAATAACTCATTGCAGCCCCACATTATTCAGATACCTCAATAAACGGCTTCAGACATGTGACCAGATCATTTACTCTGTTGACAACCTGTTAAACGCCGCCTCATCTTTATGTTTGGTAACCAGACGTATTATATCAGACTACCTCCTTCCTTACAGCCACACTCATAATCAGACCTGAAACTTTTTTGTATTTTCTTAATAAGACCAAGAGGAACATCGATATAAAACTCAAGTCAGAAGGAAAATATTCCTTATTTTAACAGATAACTGAGGCCTAAAAGGGGCTCTAAAGATGTAAACTCCTGTTCTAAAAAGGACTTGTAATTCTTGTTATGAACACCAGAGGGCGCCCAATAAGACCTATGTTTGTCTGAGCTTTGAGTGTCTCAAGCTTTTTTTTTTATCATCAGTGACAGATGTACAGTATGTATTTGATCTTACTGAAACCAACTCTCCTCATACTTTCTGTCAGAAAATAACTAAATGATAAAAGTGTGCAGCAACCTCACCGCTGTTTGTCCATCTGTCTGTCCATCAGGTGATGGAGGACGAGAACGCCAATGTGGACGAGGTGGAGTTCAAACCGGACACCGTCATCAAACTTTTCCTCGGATACAAGAAGTGAGAAGCCGGTTTGATTATTCCTGTTATTTTAAACTCTGATATTCCCCACAAGTCCTACACACATGATGCAGAAAAGATGCTTTAAGTTTCAAGTTTTTATTCCTTTTCTCGTCCACAGTAAAAAACTGAGAGTCAATATCAACGTCCCGATGAAGACGGAGCAAAAACAGGAGCAGGAGACAACTCACAAGAACATTGAGGAGGATCGAAAGCTCCTCATTCAGGTGACCGCTGACACCTCGACACAGTGAATGAATAAACGACGAAAAGTTTTAAATCCTTCAGATGTTAGGTTTTTCTTTAGTCCTTGTTATTCTGATTTTGTTGTGTGAAACAACGCTTCAACACCTTTCACCTTTTTTTGTTGATTCCAGTTCAACACAGCTTACATAAACCTCACGTATTACCTGTAACCTTAAACGGAATCTTCCATAAGCGCCAGCTGACACAAAGACTGTTCCTGCTGAATGTGTTTGAGTGTTTTAAGACACAACAGTCTTTCTTAACTTGATCATTAACAGGATGAGGGATTTTTAATAGCTAGTGAGCTTGGTTAGCAGCTGTTGAGTCCTGATATAAACATCAGATATTAACAGAAGCTTCAGACAGATTTCTTTTACTGTTTTTGTCATTGGGTTAGTTTGTTTGGGAGAGGAGGAGACCTACAGAGATTTAGCTTCCAGTAAAAATCTAAAATCAATGAAAACTAAAGAATCGTAATCTTCCTGCCTAAGAGCATCTGGGAAAAGTTTGCATTAGTACTGATTGTGTGTGTGCGTGTGTTTTCAGGCTGCTATAGTGAGGATCATGAAGATGAGGAAGGTCCTGAAGCACCAGCAGCTCCTGGCTGAAGTCCTTAACCAGCTGTCGTCTCGATTCAAACCCAGAGTTCCCGTCATCAAGGTAACATGCACATCTTATTTTGCTCACAGGGATAACTCCGGTCATGTTTCATATACGGTGGACATGAATTAGCTTCTTCTGAACTGATCTGGGGTCTCATTTATAACCATTGCGTACGCACAAAACGGGGTCTGAAACTGGTGTACGCCTTTTTTTGTGATCTATAAAAACAAACCTGATGGTACAATGTGCGCACCGGTAATCAAACTCTGACCCAGACGTACGTACATTTTGGAGGCATGGGAAATTGGCGACACAGACGGTGAAGTGGTGAATTAAAGCCTGCAGAAGGTATATTTATGCCTCTTTCACATTTTATTTCACTAAATAGCAAACTTTACTGACAGATCCACGTCATCATAATCATTCAAACCGACGATTTTATTTAGGCTATAATCGCGCATGTAGTGAGCCGTTTCCGATAAGTAACTTTCATTATGACAATATATAAACATAAAATAAAAATAAACATATTGCATCAGCGCCGTCTCTCCTTCATTATCCCGGACAGACCTCAGAGGACGGGACTTGTACACTAATGTAATCACTAATGTAGAGTTAAAAATTAGACTAACACAGAGACCATAGAGCCACCAGTTTTCATTAATATCTTTCAGTATCGTGCATTTATCATCAAGTGTGTTTTTAGTTTGAATAAAGATAACTGCGTCAAGACGCACAGAGACACGGCGGTGGCTTCACACATTTCACCTTCTCGTTACTCAGCACGTCTTCATAAGCTGCACGTATTTATTCTGTAAATAATTCAAGTGTGGACATTAAGTCGGGGCATCTCTGAAACAATCATTAGGTCTATATATCCTCATAATTAGTCACAGAGCAGACGGAGTTTCCCACGAAAAAATGTGGCCAACAATCAAACGTTTTTGTTCGTTGATCAAACTTTTGATTACTAATATGATAGAGTGAGGGAGCCTGCTGACTGACATGAGCACTCTGACAATATGAAGAAGTCAGTGTGGGTCCCGTAAACATGTAAACATTGCAGATATACTCGTGCGTAATTATGAACGCTGAATGTTTTGGCAGCGACGTGGTGTCATTCTCAGATTTTTCTTCAGTTTGTGATCCTCCTGCTGCAGCAAACTACCGATATGTCCAGTTTATTCGTCTAAACTTCCGGGTTTCGCCGCGATCCAGCGCTGGAAACCTTTGATCTGCCCCCTCGTTTGTATGCTTCTTTATTCACGAGCTGCTTTACATTGACCGTTTATGGTTAATTGTGGGCGTGTAGAGGGTGGAACATGGGACTAATCTACGTGCGCACATTTCCAGGTGGATCGTAATTTATAAAGGGAACATTGCGTGCAGGTGTGCGTACGAACGGTTTAATAAATCACAATCATTTTGTGCGCACGCCATTTCCGGGGTTTTTGGCGCACGTACATTTTAATTATGGATTCTATGCACTCTTTTATAAAGGAGACCCCTGAACAGAGAGACTGATCAGTCAGGGGCAGGGAGCTCAGGCAGAAAAAAAAAGGGACATCACATCACATGCAGCTCCTGCAGCCATATGTCCGATGTGTCCTTGGGCTTATGAATGTGTATGAATTTGAATTTGTTCATTCTGATGGTCACTTTACACAGCAGCCTCCGTCATCAGTGTGTGAAAATGTGTAGGTGTCAAAAAGTGCTCCGAGTAGTCAAAAGACTAAAGAAGCGCTATACAAGCTCAAGTCCATTTACCATTTGTGTGTGTGTGTGTGTGTGTGTGTGTGTGTGTCTGTGTGTGTGTGTGTGTGTGTCTGTATGTGTGTGTGTGAGCCTGTTATGTGCTGCAGGGAGCAGTGACACCGAGAGGAGCTGCTTGACTCCTGCCATGTCTTCACAGTGGAGGCTTGAATTTTGTAGTGATCTGAGGAGTGTGTTGTGTACACAACTCTGCTGTGAGTGGATTCAACTGAGAACAAACAGACCTGTTACACTGGAGTTGCATGAGCACACACACACACACACACACGCACACACACACACGCACACACACACACACACACACAAATCTATCCACATCCTCAGAGACACAACTACTTGGAAAATAAAACAAATTAAAGCATCCCTAATGTAAATACAAATGCAGTGAATGCTCCATTAGCGTTGTGATGTGCTCGCCGCTGGGTTGAACCCTGCACGCTCGTTGTGTTTGTTTGGTTTGCTCTGTTGTGATCCGGCCACAGCAGCAGCGGGACCTCCACTTACCCAGAGTTCCCGGCAGGTCAGTGCATTAACGACAAAATGCTGAACGCAATTGGATGCGAGGCCAATGGGAACAGTGAGGCGCTATTTCACATGGCGCTCAGCTGTAAATTTCTTGAAGTAAACACCCCCCACCCACACACCCACACACCCACACACACACATATAAGAACATAGCCGGTGCTGCATACAGAGAGAGACTCAAAGGGGAATCTGGGGCCTGTTTTTTGTCATATTACTGGTTCTCAATGAAAAAAGAATTGAAACATTCCCACTGAATGTTTCCTGCTGGCTCTTCTGGCTGCAAAGCTGACAAACTTGAGGTAAAACACGTTTTGACTTTTACTGCCTCTAAAATAAGTGATGCGACCGCTGATCCCTGATATTTAGTAATGGTGTTGTTTGGGTGTTACTGATACTTCAGTGACTTCTGCATCTTAATTGTGTGGCTCATCTGAGAAAGCATGCAAACAGCGGGCTGGCACAGCGGTGGGGGCAAGTGGCAGACGACAGACATCTGCATTAACCAAGAAATGAAAGCCTTGTGTTGCGAAAGTCAAAGTGGAATTTTCATCGTCTGCCAACAATGTCAGAAGCCTCCACCGCGTCTTTGAAACGGATCATCGAGAGGTGCTCCAACGTGCTGTCATAAGGTGGCTGTCACTGGCGCCAGCTGTTGAACGCATCCTGCACAGCTGGCCCGCTGCTCGCTCCAACTTCCTCTCCAAGGAAGGAGAACAGTGCAGTAAGGTGTTGTGGTATACCTGCTCTCCTGAGGATGCAAGAGGTGCCGCCTTTGCCATGCAGGTTGTTTGAAAGTTGGTGAGAATTGATGCATATGTATTATGCAGTCAGAGAAGACCAAACAGTCTGGAGACAAGCACGGTGAATTCTTTAGCAATAACACCAGCAACTCTCAACAAGATCCTGCCAGAAGTTACGCGCTAAATGCATAAAATTATACATGCAAGAAGTTGCTACAGAGCAGAGGAGGGGAGTAACATATTCATAAAGATGTGTTGACTGTAGTTCAAGTTTGAATCTATGTCTGCTCTGTCACTTTACACAGTGCAAACTTTGTGCTCTCTCTCTCTCTCCAGAGGAACTTCAAATTGGCAAGCTGTATAATGGGTATTGTTGCACAAGGAGGCAGAGCAGGAGAGAGGGTACAAAATGTAACACAAAAAAACAAAACAAATCAGAGGCAGTCTATGATCCTGCAGCCATGAGAAAGCGCTGTGCATCCTTCTAAAAAGCCCTGTTTACACCAAAGGGTATTTTGCACAGCTGAAAAAGCCAGGCGCCTCTCTGGAAACACCCAGCTGGGGGTGCTTGAGAGTGCTTTAAAGGAGCAGCTTTTTTCAGCTCAGACACTTTGGTTGCATCTGGTACTGTAGCTACGATGCAATATCTGTAAAAGTCAAAATGTCAGCTCAAAGGTAGTGTTCTTTTTCTGTGAGGAGAGAAGACGAATCCATGTAGGTAAAGGGATCTACCTTGCAGTCCATGTGGAATACTCGCAGTAATAATCTCCCATAATTATGAAATGAAGTTTAGTATTTGTACATGGATCATATGGATATGACTGGGGGTTTTCGTAGTACTTTTTCCTGCTCCACTGTGATTGCACGGCTGGTCAAAAACATTACAAGTGTTTCAGCCAAAGTTCAACGTTTTTCAACTCAGCACTAAACAGACACTCAAACCTACAGCTGCTGCGACGGGAACTGTACATGGGGCACCAAACATAGCCACTAGGCTGTTGGGCGCCAAAAGCGGTGCCACTTTTAAACAGTTTTTCTTTCTCATTAGGTCATACTGGTGCATGTACATAAAATGTGGTAAAAGTACAAGTGTAAAAAACAACTCTGCTGGGCTAGGAAAAAACTTTTTTTGACAATTAAAAAAATTAATGTTCATAATACTCAAAATGCTCACCACAGTTATGAATGTGATGTACCCAAGAGATATCAGAAAAATGCTTTTGATACCTGAGAAACATGAAAAATGAGATACTTTGAGACATTTACTTTAGGAATAGCTGACTTTCAGAGGAAATATTTTCCCCCTTTTCTACCTTTTCAAACAGTCCCCTGTGGTCTAAATGAAACATCTGTGCTGTGCTTTGTTCAAAATATAAAATGAAGCATGCACCAGAGGAGGTTTGTGACCCTGTATAAACCAGCTCTCTCAGAATGCTCCGTTTTGGTGTGTGTGTCTCTTTAAATGAGATGACCCCCCCACTGAGTTTTCCCCGTAGACATCACTTCTCTGTTAAGAGAATAAAAATGGAGGAACTGTGCAAAAGGTTTGTTCTAGTCTGGGGGTGGAGTCCATGGGTGGAGACATCAGGGGAGGAGAAGGGATTTTTTTTTTTTTACCAGAATCCCACTGTGACATCACAAGGAGAGCACATTTAAAAGGGAGCACTTTTCTCTGTGTTGTAAGACTTATGCAGACCACAAACAAAGGACTGGGTGGATTTATTTCACATTTTGTGGGTCAGTAGACACTCAGGTTACCCAAATATATGTTCAAAAACTCTGTACAAGTGGATGTTACATAATATGTCCCCTTATTTAATTTTTTTGGGGATTGAGACCATTTGTAAATGTAAAAACAACCCACTGAGTAACTTTCTGAAGTCAGTGTTTATTCCTGCAGAGAAAGTCAATTGCGGGTGTTACTTTGACACTTCTGAGCGCTAAAACTGGTACTACACATCGGTCCATAATCAAGCGTTATTATGTGTCTTGGTTCCAACATTCACAGCAAACTACAGAATAATACACTGGATCGATACACTTCTTGATTACAAACTTCTCCCGGGAACTGTGCTCAATATATATGGTTAA